CACGTACCAGAGTGCAGTCTTTCCTGCCCGCAACGGCGAGACCATCGCTCAATTGCATGACCGTATTGCGGCCGCAGTCCAGGCCATCATTGAGCAATGCGACGCCGAGGGCAAGCGCGCCGTCGTCTTGTGCTCGCACGCTGCCTCCATCATTGCCCTCGGACGAGTGCTTACCGGCGTCATGCCCGACAGCGTCGATGTGGAGGACTTCCGAGCCTTTACCTGCGGCTTGAGCGTGTACCGGAGGAGATCGCATTCTTCTTCGGCACAGACTTCAGGAATCCAAGGTAGGATGCGAATCCTTACGTCATCGGCTTACTCTGCGGGCCTCAGATTGACTGACAACGGGGACCAACAGGGCCGGATCCGGACACCAGCTCATGGAAAAACGGTCGAGGAGTTGGAGGTGGGTGGATTTGCGAGCTCAACAGTGACTGCAGCTTCTTGAGCGGAGGAGAAGAGAGGGGATGGTAAGATTGAATTCCCGCCTCCCACCCGCGCGCGCACCCGCACACTGATTTCACCAATAACGCCCCCCAGCCAAGCCCTTCCTCACCCTTGCTGCCACCATTGCAATGCGGAACACACAAGGCCGCTGGGGAGGGGCTGCCCACCCCCCCCCCCCCTTTGTTCCTTCTTCTTTGCCCGCTCGCACCGCCGCCGCCCGAGAGGGTCGAGACGCTGTGCTGTGTTTGGATGGAAGCTGACACACCAAACCATATATAGGAGGTTCTCGGGAGATGAGTCCTTTTCCACGCCCGAAAACTCGTCGCAGGCGGCCGACGCTGGAGTAGCACTCGGTGTGGTGGTGGAAGGAAAAGTGAAACCCGACAAGGTGTCTTCTTCTCCAAGAGCTGCAGGTCATTATCGTCTCTAGGAAAGCGGATTTATTGATCGGGTGGCGACGTCCTTCGTCATTTGCATTTGCTTTTTCCCTCTCCATTCTCCCGAGGCCAATTCCTCGACCTCAGCTCAAAGGGTCAAAATGGGTCGAGGGGGCCTTTTGGGGGCTGCGACAAGTCCTGCTTCTCCGACCTGGCCAGAGACTGATCCGCACCACCCGTATCATTGCGGCCGATACACGATGACAGCTAATGCCGGATAGACTTGTCTAGCTGCTGCGGGATGCATCATTTGCATATCTGTGGCGTAGCCTTGGTAGCATAGAATCTGCGAGCCAGTTTACCACAGCGGCTAGCCCCGAATCCCTGACAGAAGAACCCCTGTCGTTTTCATCCCACATCTGCCACACCATTTCATCGCTCCCATCATTCAACCTCAACTGCTCAACCTCCATTGACTGACTGTCATCCGATATACTCTGGATATGCGCCCGAAGACTGGGATTGAAACAGTACCTTCGCGTCTCCGCCATCCGAACTTTCCCCAGCCAGATTGGCTCGTTGAGCTGAAGAACCTAATCTCATAAAGGCAGTCTCTAGCGTTCAATGTCTATCCTGCGTCATAAGCACATGCAAGACGATTGGCGTGTTTGTTGTACCTTGAGTCTCGCCCGCTGCCGTGTCCTAGCTGGCTCGATCCCTTGACGGCTTGGATCTCGGGAGGGCTCTGCGATGGGGCTCGCTGACGAAACCTCGACCATCGGCTGGGTTTTGATCATAGCGCAGATCCGTCCTTTTTTTTTTCTTTTTTTTTTTCCCTCCCCCCTTGCACCCGCTGTCACCTCCGCAGCCCCGACTGTCGGCGGGACCATGCCTGCCCCCCTCAGGGAGTGGATATTCGCATACAGGACAATGGCCAACAACGGAATGAAGGGTTGGATTTGGTATTACGCCTTGCTGAAGAAGACAGCCTTTGCATGCCTATGCCGTGGATGTGCCCGCAAAGCAATCTATCTCTCCCAGAGTGGGAAACCGAGTCATGACTGCGACCGCGCTTTGATGAAGACGACAACAACGACTGGCAGGCGGGCTCATTTGATTGCCTGCCGGTTTCAACCTTGATCCATCGCTTTGCTTTGGACGAGACTCATCCCCGAAGATTTGATCTAGCAGCAACGCGGGGTTCGATCGGGGGCGATGCATCTTCCGAACCGGCCAGCTGGTGTCTTTCCCGAGACCCTAGCATCGTCTTCGGATACCTGTCTCGATGCCGGCCTCCCTAGCGGTGTAGGCTCGCATTGCCTGATTCAGCCGTTCGACGAAGAGCGTTCCTGTCGAACCGTGAGATTTACACGGGGCGTGCTACCAGTGGCCACGCTATATTCCGTCTCGCAATTACGCAACATGGTCGATTCGCCAAGCTGCAAGTCTGTGGCAGCTCATGATGATCCTACATAGGTCAAAAGAGCGGTGGACCAAGGCAGTCACGCGTCGGAAGGAGATGGAGGGGGTTGGGAAGGGCTCACCGTCCTTCTTATGAGAGGCTCTGCCATGGGACAGGCCTCGAGCGATGGCAGCCTTTGACTAACGCGCATGTGCTTTCACCCAGCTGCAGAAGACGGGCGATTGCGGAGCGCGGGCCTGTGACACGTCTGGCAGTCGATGACATACAGACTCCAATGCACGACATGGCGGGAGGCGATGGCAAACTATGGACTCCTTCTTAATCGGGCGGCATGCCTTAGTCTATCATGGCCCTAACCCGGCTGAGGAGCCTATCGGTTTCGTATCTTTGATGAGAGCGTTGGTCTTGCGAGATCCATGGCTAGGTTCCAAAAGAAAACGTAAGAAAAGTAACGACGACGGCTGGCCATACGTACGCAGGGCGTGATATTTGAATTGAAGTGGTATTGTTGCCCGCAACACAGGCCGCTCACTATGTAACGGGAGCATCTGCAGAGAGCAGGATTGGGCAACCCAGGAGGGCTCCCGGCCGACGCGAAGAAAGTCTGAAAGGCTCCTTGAGATAGCTCAGCTTCACCTTGGGCTTGTTTGTATGAAGCAAAAGGCGATGGCATCAGCAGACGACCTCGTGGGCTCACGTTCCGTCAACTTGGCGTCTCTGCCCGTTCTGGGCCGGCGAGTGGCGTCGAGGCATCCTGCGCGGGGGCGGGGGACCAACATTGCCAGATAAGCGGCAAGCACCCATTCAGTCCAGCGCCGACTAAAGATGGTGCTTATCGAAAGGACATGCAACAACAATGGCGTATGCGCGCGCGCGCGTGTGTCTGATGCGTTGGGCTGCTCGTGTTGCAGAAGGGGGAGCGAGACGATCAAGGCGGTCGATTCCAGAGTTTGTGAAAACAACAGCAACGCAACAATGTCGACGACAATGGCTGAGGGTGGTCTAAAGAGAACCAAGAATTTGCCGGGGTCTGAAATGGATAGTCTGGGGCTTCAAAGTTTTTCTACCCATGGCGACCGCTGCCTGGCTTGGCCGGAAGTTCGCGAGAGCGACAAAAGCCAAGTGGAAAAGAAACGCCCGTACTACATCGTGGCGAAACCCCCCTGCATCTCAAACTTGGTCAGCATCGTCGCGTGGGTTTGATAAAGGGAGGGAGATGGCTAATATTAACAGCGCGCTTGAATGAAAGTCTAGTGAAGAGTCAGTCCAGCCAAGACGAGACAGGGAAGGCGAGCACCCTCTGGCTGCGGAATAAGAAACATGGGGTGCTCGTTGGTTGGCCAGACGCTGAATATGGCTGGTAACGGGCTCACAGACGAATGGCCAGGGCAGGCCAGGCCAGGGCAGGGGGCAGGCCGCATGCTAACACAAAGTCGATTGACCGTTATGGCATTGTGCTGGACATGGGCTTTTACCTAGTCTGGTCCGGATCGCAGTGGCTTTTCTCCACCTGGAAGGCTTTTGAGACCGACAACCTCCTCGCCTGTCGCCGTCTTTTTACACCGGGTAGTCAGCGAAATCTGCGGCGGCGGCGATGTGTTCCTTATTCCTCCCCTCTCGGACCATGGATGAAGATCTAGATGGGCTCATCTGAGCCACGCCCACTTGTGCATGCTATTGATACCGACACACCTCCCCCGGTGCGTTCTCTCACACCTACCCTGGTCAATACCAACCTGACCGTACCCAATCTTGCCAACTTCCTGACTCTCACTCACCCTCTCTCTCTTGAGCCAGGCTTTGGCAACCCTCTTCAGTCGGTCCCCGCAAGCCCGCAAGCGGAGTGAACGGGTGGGCGGTCGAGACTACCTATCTACCTAGACACCACGGCGGCCCCACAAACCGTCTTCCCTGACCCTAGACGACGGCGGTAAGGCGGCTGCACTCAACGACTACCGCGTGGCCGTCCACTGGCGGCCTTCCATCGAACCCTCTCCTCTCCCCCCCCTCTCACCAGCGGGTACCGATGTCTGTCGCTCCTAAATCAAAAATGCATCTCAGACAACAAGCTGAGATGCTACGAGGGACATTTCCTGCGAGATTCGGGGGCGGGTACATGTGTGTCTGTGTGAGTGGGGGGCAGGCGGCCAGTAAAGATGCCTGTCCTGCCCGTTCTGCACCAGAGAATCACACCGACCTTGACTTAACATTATGTAGTGTTGCTGCCGAGGCAGTTTACCATGCCGCAAACACACGAGAGAAGACACGAAGGAATACGCGGGAGCGTCAGGACCTGGCATCGAGGTTACCAAACAGCGACGACAATGGCCATGCCATGTCGACGACAATCGGAGCAAACGCCAATGCTTGGGTTGTCCAAGGGGGAGCAACTGGGCCAGGGCAGCTATTATTATTACAGCTACCAGAATCTCGCAAAGAGAATGCTCCAACCGAGTCCTGCCTATCGTCTTCGAGTCAGTTTGGGGAGGGGCGGGGGGGGGGGAGGACTCATGAGGTGATCCAATCGCAGCCTCGTGTTAGTCCAACAGCAAATGAGGCTTCGGGTCACACAAAGCAAAGCGGACATGCCATGCCTGGCCGTGCCTTGCCCCCAAGTATGCCCAAGATCACAATCCCTCTTACACCCCACTTATGTCCAGACACATACGCACACTCTCTCGCTTTCTCGGTCTTGCAAAGCCCCTTGGCCGGGTGGGCATTGAGCGTGTGTGTACGGATACGTATGTATGTGTGTGTGGGTGGGTGGATGGGTGGGTGTGGGTATCCGTCTCCACCATGTATACCCACACCACCAGTGTCCCGATTGAGGTCGTTCGTCACTCGTCTCTGCTACGTCCGGAAGACAGTGGAACTCACAGCAAGGCCCCCGGGAGACTACGACCTCACGCACCAGTTGTGACGCGCAGCTACGATCTAAGACTAGCGCCTCTGGAGGAGAATATCGACTGTGCAGCATGTCCCGAATACTACTTGCACCCACCCACCATAATCACCTTCTCATTCTCACACTGACACCCATTGCACCCAGGGCCTGCCTGCACTACAGACCGAACTATCCCCTTCATTACTCTGTATGCACCGTCGTCTCGACCATTGGGCGACCTCATTTCGAAGGCCGGATAATCCAACTTGCTCGGCTCCCTCCCTTGCGAACTGGCGAGCTTCTCGACCCTGCCCGCCTGCGGGCGCCACACCTTCGATGCCTCGCGCCTCTCTGCCGTCTCAGAGCATCTCATCAGCCATCCGTCTTGCATGCCCGACCAATGCTTCGTCATTCCCAAACAGACCATGACCTTGTTTGCTGCATATCCCAATTCATTGGCGGTGGCGTGAGGTTGGTTGGCATCGAGGGCGTGTGTGTGTGAGAGTGCGTGTGTGGTTTTCCATGTATGGAAATAGCCACTTGCACAATTGGATGAAAAGAAGCGCACGCATAGGGTGAGAGAGAGAGAGAGAGAGAGCGCCCATCCTTCAAAGGTCTCTCCCCCATATGACGAACCAGGATCAGGGCCCTGGAGGAGGGGCACCCGGCGCCAGCCCATACTAGACAGATTGGGCGACCTGCAGGAGATACATGCCATGGATCTACACATTTGGCTGCGACTGCACATAGCAAGCCTTAGCACCGAAGAAAATAAGAAACGACCTCTCGCTGTCAGAATGCCACCAGGCGGAGCCTGATCTCCCTGGCCCTTACTTGGAGCTATAGTGTAGCCGCAAACCTAGCCTGCCTTTCTCTCACTCCCTCTCTCTCACTCTCTCACCCTCTCACTCCCTCACTCCCTCTCTCTCTCTCTCTCTCTCTCTCACTCTCACCCTCGATCACTCTCGAACACCCCCCCACCTCCTGGGCCACGACCAGGGTCCCGGCTCGTTGCTTTCCCGACTGGGTTGTACAACCAGCCAGGCCGTGAAAAGAGATATAACAGAGACAGAGATCCATCGCGGACGGGAGCTTAATAGTCAGGGTCTGACCCGTTGTCGATGACTCGTCTCGTATCTCTTCACTCCCCGATTAACATACACCTGTCTTCGCCCCTCCCGCAACAAAAACATCTGCCCTCTGCAACAGTTCTTCATCGATAGGAAAGAGATCTCGGCAGGTGTCCGGCATCATCTGTGCCCTCTTTCGGCTTGGAAGACGTTCCAATCTGGCCAAAACGTCTCTCACTCCTCGCTTCAGACCGTCCTCGACTTTCCACCTTGCCTACCTGCAACGCCAACATCAGACAACCGACATGTTCTTTAGCTTACAAGAACACCAACAGCACGGCATGGACCGCCTACCGCCACCCATGGGCTACAACCAGGCCCGCAACGACGAGGTGCCGAGAGTGCTTCCCAGCCTCTCGTCATTCACCTTTGACGACAGGATGGATGTGGACAGCCGCAGCAACAGCATCAGCAGCAACATCAACAACAACGACCGGAAGCCCGGCAAGCGTCACGATGTGGAGGTGGCAACAACACTCGCCTCCATGGCCTCCTTCAACATCAAGTCGCCGACACTCCCCTCACCCACCCAGAGCTTCACCTCGATCAGGTCAGACGGTAGGCCACATCTAACCAAGACCGTATTGGATGAAGAGCGACGCGAAGCTTACGACAGCGCCCCAGGCATGACGAGATCAACAAACTCCCAATACTCCTCGCCTGAACCCAGGTCACCAGACCTCTCATCCGTCAACACCCAGCTGTCCTTTTCCAAGGACGGCAGCGGCGGCAGCACAGCATCTGTCATTACGCTCCCGCGCCTGCGTGAGCTGGACCTCCGGCCCCTCGAGCCCGAGTTCATCCCCAGTCCGAGTTTCCTTCCTCCGTCCTCCTCCTCCTCCATCTCAGGGGCGACAGGGCCGCGGCGGAGCAGCCTGGAATCCATCAGCACCTCGTCCTTCACGGAGCCCAGGCTCGAACTCGCCTCCCCGCCGGCCTACCGAATCCCAATGCCCCCAATGGCGTACCCGGACGTCCCTTCCCCGACCCCTGGTGTCTCCCACCACCACCACCACCACCACCATCACCATTCCTCCTCTCGTCCTCACCACTCCCACTCTCTCACATCCCCCCGCCGCCTCCAGCACAGGCTGCCAGTGACGGCCCTCCGGACTCCCAACGGCGCCTGCAGCCCGTCCCGTCGGCCCCGCCGCTCCCCCACGGGGTCCCGGTGCAACGTGAAGTACACGATCCAGCAGGTCGACTTCATCGACTACTTCCGCGTCGACCACCACCTTTCCTGGAAGGAGGTCGAGGCCAAGTACGCCGCCGTGTTCCCCGAGGACGCCGCAAAGGGCCACAAGCGCGGCCCTCAGGGCCTGCAAGGCGTCTACTACCGCAAGAACAAGCAGATCCCCGTCACGGACCCCAACAACCTGCTCGTGTTCGACGAGGACGACAACCCCAAGACGTTCCAGTGCGACGTCCGCGAGCAGGGCAAGAAGATGAACAACTCGATCGGCCTGCTGGGCATGCACCCTGAGCGCGCAATCACCTACCCGTGGGTCTCGGAAGAGCACAAGAGGCAGTATGAGAAGCTTGGTGAGCCCCCCCTCCCTTTCCCCCCTATACACCTTCCCAGGGGACGAGCAATGGCTAACAGAGACGCCAGGCCGCGCAAGGCAAGCCCAGCTCGACGCCGCCGAGGCGCGGAAAAAGAGGAGACGGGCCATCCAGAACAGCCGTCTCTGAGATTCTCTCTCATCTTCCCCTTTTCTGTTTAAGCATCATGTCTTTCTTCTTTCTCTTCTTTTCCATGTCTCGGTTCACTTCTTCCCATGATATCCAAACTTACTCTTTCCCCCTCCGCCCCCCCTTTTTTTTCTCTTCTGAATTTGTCCTTTCTTTTTCTTCTTTTTTTTTCTTTTTTCTTTCTATGCGAGTTCTTTATACTTCGCTGGTCAGAGGGGAGTTATTCGGCCATACACATACTACATTTCAAAGGCCAACGGGGATTTACAGGGAGCTCCGGCTGGGGAGTGGGAAAAAAACTCGGGGATTACACAAGAAAAAAGAAAACCCACATCCCCATTAGCATTTGTCTAACGTGTAAATCACACAATCAAGAGAGAGCGCGCGCGAGAGAGAGAGAGAGAGAGAGAGAGAGAGAGAGAGAGAGAGAGAGAGAGAGAGAAGAACACCCCTACCCTGCAACAACACTTCCCATCAAAGCCCCCCCTTGCCCCAAAAAAGAAAAAAAAAAGGATGGAAGGTCAACCAAAAAGCATCACAGTGTGTGTGTTTCCGAGGAGCCGCCCCCCCCATCCGTGTACGATGTCCAAGAGACGAGAAAACGTTTGTTTCTCGCAGCGCCCGGGAGTCGCTTCTATTCGAAGGAGGGCAGGAGAACCTAGGCTGGCGAGCAAACAGAGGGCCCGGGTCCATGAGGGAGGGGACAAGCAAACAAGAGGGGGATGACCTCCAAGAATGGTCTTGTCTTCTTGGCCCCCTTCTCTTTCTCTCTCTCTCTGTCTGTCCGTGTTTCTCTTTTCTCTTTCGTCTTTCGTCACGGGGCTTCAATGTGTGCTCCTTTTTTCCCTTCCTTCTTTCTCTCTCTATCCCTTCTATCCCGTGAGGTCACACACTCCTGATGGGTTTGGGAAGGGGGTTCAGGGAGTTTTCGGGACACGCCGACGGGAAATAGACGCATTTACGAATTGGATTTCGATACGTTAGGGGGAGAAGGGAGGGGTGAGCATGGCAACCGGGCAATGTAGCAGCGTACACGGGGACAAATGCCAATGACGACAAGGAGTTGAAAACATTTATTTACTTTTATTTTTATTTTTTTTTACAGACCTCCTTCCCCCCTTTGCCCCCCTCCTACTAGGGACAAGGGAGGAGGGGTGGTCAGGAGGCAAATACCTACAAACGGGAAGGGGGGGAAAAACAACAACCACAAAAAAACACACGGGATACCAACGGCGCGTGGTGTGGGGATGGGATTTGACAGTCACCAACAATGACGTTGCTATTGACTCCTCCCCCTCCCCAACCCCGTCGTTTGTTCACGTGGTGTCTGTCTTCCAGGGCCAATGATATACGACAGCGTTTTATCTATTTAGAAATGGGTTATGATCAGGGACACAAGGTCGGGCGGAAGTGGAGGAAAGGGGGGGGGGGGGCGTGGGGGGCGTGGTTTGGGTTTGGGTTTGGGTTCGGCATGGTGATAATGATGATGATGATGATGGAGGCGACCAAAGCCTCCCCGGGCCCGGGGGGCTAGTATTACTTAGGATACCAATCAACCAGTTGAACAATCCATGCGGGCAGCTGCCATTCTCGAACGTGCGTCTGCCGGATCCGGATTTTTCCAAGTGACGGGCGCCGTCGTCGCACAGAAACCGTTCGGGCCATCGGGCCTTGTACGTCAAGGCAAACCGCTTGTTTGGGACCCGGGGAGGGGGGAAGGGTTCAGACAGGCGCTGGTGACGGATTACCACTTGGATCTCTCTCTTTTGTGCGTCCTTTGTGCCTCGACGCGTAAAAGTCCGGGGAGGTGGGAGCATCGCTAACTTGGTCCAACTGAAACCAGGCGAAGCAGCCTCGTGGTTGAGTGATTGGTAAGGGGGTACAAAAGGGGGGGGGGGGGGGGTTTGTTTCCCCGAGATCACGTTAGGGGAAGAAGGAGAAAAGAACGCAAACAATGTGCCGCGTTGATGTTCTTCTGGTGGTGTACGGACGCTCCTGTATTTGGGGTGGAATTGTCCGTCACCAACTGCAGGGCCGTTATGTTACAGATCCGTGAAGAGATCCTGCAAGCAGGTTGGGAAGGGGGGTCAGCCTGTACCTTATCCGGTCTCCAGGTACTCCGCCCAGCGGTCCAACCCTAGAACTGGTTAGACGGTTTGGGCGGTCTGTTCGACTTGGTCTTGGGAGACCGGTGTGTGTGTGTGTGTGTGTGTGTGTGTGTGTGTGTGTGTGTGGGTAGAAGAGTGTTTGTCGATAATCTCAACCGTACTGATGATAGCGGTCAGGTTGGCTTCTGTCACAGCAGACAGTATGGGGCGAGGACACAAGACTATCGTGCCTCGAGGCTCGGTCTAGACGGGCGATGACAATTACACGGAGATTTGGGGCAGCTGATAGGGGGCAAGCCCTTATGCAACCGAGAGGCCGTAAGGGGGAGGGGGCTATTTCGGGTCGCATTGCTTACAAGTTGTTTTCTCGAAGCAGGAACAGTGAGACATCATCTTGGTCCATTGTTATCGACTTCAAGAGGTCAATGCGAGCATGAAGGGGGGAAGCCTCGGGGTGAAGCGGGTCGAATGTGAGGTGGCGGTGATGAAGAATCTTGGTGGAGGGTCAATATCGGTTTCCTTTTGGCTTCCGTTGCACACGCCCCCCAAGCCGACCACGAACCGGACTGTCGGACCCTAAGTGTTGTTGGTGGCGTAGTTCCCGATCGAGGGGGAAACACGTAGAGAAAGAGGCTTGAACCAGTGCAGAGGTCCATTATGCGGTTGGAAGGGCCTCGGCTGCAGTCGGAACCCTGGAGAAGGGGGCGAGGGTGTTGTTTGCGTGCGTGTTTGCTTGCTGTGCCTTGCTGAACCATGTAGCATCTGGTAATTGGCTATCAATACTGGCCTCACTTATGTGATGGATCCCGTTTCTGGATGTTTTGGCAAGAGAAAGGCCGGGTAGTGACACAGAGGCCTGGCTTGACAGCGTGGTGCATGTTCTCGAAGTTTGGCAGACAGACCTAGAAGACATGAGATGTTTGGGGTCTGGGGGACATGCCCCAAGCCCTTGCACGTATGCTTTGTCCCAGACCTGGGCCCTTTTGACAACCGGTTCCTGCTTGCGATAACAAGGGGGCTTGGTTGGCGAGGATGGTGGACCTTGGCATGTCTGCTTTGAACCTAGAAGGATCCTCGAAATATCCTGCACCAACACGCGACTTCAAGGCGTGTATGTCCGTTGGGAGGGGGTGACGTGCCACAGAATCGACCTTCATCTGTCCAGCTTTCTTATGCTTGAGGAGGACGATGCCTTTGTAATACGTTGGCATCGTCGTCGTCGTCGTCATCGCATGCATGCTTGATCATCGATAAGAACGGGCATGAAAGCCTTCACAAAGGGCCTGCCGTCGCATCGCATTCGGTGCTGACCGTACCCGCCGTCGACGGCCCATCAACGTTCAAACAGCAGTGCTCTCTCGCATTGGACCGTCGGCGGTCGTACAGACACTGCCGCCCCCTTGGGGACCAGGGAGTCGAGACCTTCCGACCTTCAGCATTGTCATGGGGATCTTAGCCTCCAGGGGTTACAGAACGAGGCGCACGACTACCCGCGGGTTCTGTGTCGGTCAATGTGATGAGTGGAGGCGGCTAGAAATGACGAGTCAACTGTTCCATGGCCTTATCGTTGTTGGAAGTGGAAATGCTGTAAGATTCCGGTCAACTGCGGTTAGCTCGAGTGGAGCGTCCATCCAATCTCAACCAGAAAAGAGCGAGTTTTTGAGCCAATGGAGCGTATTCCCTTAGCGCAGTTGCCTCCAACGAAATTAGACCAGAAAAGAGATCATCCCCGGCTTCATTGGTTATTGCCTGCATGCATCTACTAGGCTTGGCCAGCGCGGAAGGGCCGAGAAGGAGGCGGTCCCCACATGACATGTAGCGGCGGCGGCGGGTCAAGTCTTGGTCGATGACAACTGGTGGAAAGTCCAGAACGATCGTTAAAGCATGGAGACCACTGCGGGAGACGAAGGGAATCGCTCGGAAAGTTAAGTATGTATTGTCTTGATAGTGCCGGCTCTCCCATCTATGGACACGTCCGACATCTTTCCTTGCTAGCAAGCCTCGCATTTGTCATGCTGCCGGCTTATTCACGTTCTCGATTCATTGTCATCATATCTCCAAACATGTTCTCGTAATCGTTATGCAAATGGAGACTTGTGCTTCTCCATGGGCTGCAGCCCAAAGATGTCATCAGACTTGATCGGCTTGGTGTCGTCGTCGGAATCGGCGACAACCTCGCCAAAGAGAAAGGCGTTCCGCTCTCTGCTGATGTTTCCTGAGGGTTTCTTCCGGTGTGCGCCTCCGGAGCTCGACTTTGGCATCTGCGGTGGCGACGCGGATTGCGCGGACTGATCCGGCTCAAGCATCCACGAGAAGGACGACTGGGCAAGGGTTGATCGCGTTGGAATCGGCGGCTGAGGTCGTTCCTTCGGCTTCCTCGGAGGGGTCCCCAACTTTGGGCTTGATGTTGTCACTGAAGGATGCTCGGCAGGTTTGTCTGCAGGTGCATCTTGTGTGGTATCCATCGGCTCGGGGAGAGGAGATGTCGAAGCTGGCGACAATATGGCTTTCCCTTGGTCTGCCATGGACAGCGTGGATATGGCACCTGCCACATTTTCGGCGGAAGCAGCGGCCTCCAGGGCGGCCTTGCCGTTTGGGTCGACGTCCATCGAATTTTCTCCTCTCGCTTCTTCAGGTGGCGGACTAGTGAAGCCCTCCAAGTCTGGGACCTCGATCGTTGGGTCTTCTAGGTAAACCTTGACGAACTGGATCTTGGCGGCTGCTACCTCGACGAGCTCCAGGGTCTTAACCTTATCGTCGAGGTTGGATGTGCCCAAAGACCTAAGACTTGCGACCGTCTCGTCCAGCATGTTCGCCAGGAGCTTGTTCCGTTGCTCCAGCGCGGCAATGGCCTGGGTCGCCGAGTCGTCTCCCAGCAGTTGTCTTGCTGTGCGAGGAGTATAGCGTACCTCGTTCAAGCTCTGCATGTTCTTCCTGATGTCACCCATGGCATCGCGTACGGCTTGGTTGATGCCGAGCTTCTCGCCTCGCTCAAGCATGCTTTTTGCGGCGCCCTGGAACAGAGCTTCCACTCCACCCTGCTGCTGGATGAACCTGCTTGCCGAGGGAATCGGCGATTGATTGCCTCTGGTTCGGTTCCTGAAAGAAGAAAATGCCTGGCTTATTGGCGTCGTGGGCCGTGAACTAGCTGCAGACTGTGTTGTGCTTGGCATCTTCCCCGTATATTTCAACAGGAGCGAGACACCCCCGGAGACACTAAGATGCGTTCTCAGGTACATGGCATCGTCTACAAACGTGTGAGGTCCATGAGGGGCATCTGGTGCGGGATATTTGAGTAGTAATTGCAAGCAAACAGAGTAGTCTGCCTCGAGCACTGCAACGAATTAGCCTGGAAAGAGGCAGGAGGAAGTACATGACGAGAACCTACAACTCCAACGAATCCTAAGAAGCATAGCAACACAAATAAGGTCTATCAAGCTTAGGGACGGGTCGACGGCAAAGAGGGTATCCCAAAAGACAAGGAGCTCGTCGAACGGAAACTCGCGGCCGAAAAGAAGGCGGATCCATCGGCTAAGGGGCCAGCTCTGTTAGTACTGGGGCGCAGAGATCTCTGAGGGTTGCAGATGCTTACATCAAGAAAATCTGCGGCAGGATCTCAATATCTTTCAGGTGGTTGGCCAACTCTGGGTCAACCTTGGCCAAGCACACCTCGTGGATGAACTTGCTCTTCTCAACAATGGCCGATGTTTCCACGCGATCCTTGGACACGGATGCCAAGGCCGCCTTTGAAACGGAGTCCTTGACTTCATAAAACGATTTGGCCTTCTCCATGATCTTGGAAAACAACGCAAATGTGTCGTGCTCGATGAAGGACGAGTCCAGCATACCAACCATCGCTTCATCAACCGGCTGTCCGCTGGACGCGATGGCTTCACGATCAAGCGCATCTTGATTGACCACGTATGCTATCGGCGCCAGAAGCTCGTGCATACCCTGGCGATATCCGCCGCTATTAGGGTGCAACTTGCAGTAGACAAACAGCGCGTCAATGATCAATGTCTGCGTCCGGTCTTGGTGGTAGAAAGGTTCATCCGGCAGGCGACGAACATCCTGCGCGATTTCCGCCCTGATGATCTCGTCTTGACGGACAGTGTTCCACGGCGACTGCGGCAAAGTGTGAGCTCAAGGTCGCCAGGCATGGGGGAAATACTCTATGGCACGGACCTTTGGGTCGTCGGTCAGCGGGTCAATGGCTACCTTGGCCAGCTCCTCCGGGTGCTCGATGAACTTTAAGAAATGATCCCGGCGTTGAGAGTAGTAGCTGCGCAGCTCGGAGATCCCATGAAGCCAGTCTGCGGGGTCGACGTCTTGCAGGAGCAGGAAGGCCTGCGAAGCGTAAGTCAGCTCGGCCTTGAGACAGCATCAACGGCCCCGACTTGTCACTGACCTTCCAACACACCGACCTGCAGCCTGTGAGGCATGGGCTCGAAGGCCCGTTGTATCTGACTGCATTCTGTAACTCGGAGAAACTCCTGGCATTCTTTGATGTCTCGGCCCACCGCGTCCTGTGAGTTGGGTTAGTCGGTGGGAAAATGATGTCAGAGGTCGTGGTGATTCGACGCGCACCGCACTTACTGGGCTTCATCGAGGGTTCTCATCGTGCAGCAAGGAGGCCTCGGCTGAGGGAGCCTTTTGGACTGCCAAGACTTACAGAAGCAACCCGGCCTGGCATCCCAGATGGAAAGTCTCAAACTCAAAAGAGCCGCACGCAATGAGACGGGATTAGGTTGGCGATCGATTGGAGTGTAGTGAGTTGAAGGTGGCTGGAGAGGAACTAGGCGCTGGTGGAAGCTCTGGCCAAGTCAAAGTACCACACCTCGTACCCCCTCCCCTGCCTGAGATGAGGCCCCGATGAGGTAAGAGAGACTAGCATAGCAGCAGGCCTGGGACAGCAGGTGATGGAAGGGGAGTCAGCGCAACGGCCAGAGTGGGGCAGAGGGGTACGTTGGAATCAACGACCGCCTGCCCAAAAGACAGTGCCCCGCGCACGATGGGCCACATCACACACAAGGTGGGTAGGTAGTCATGTCACTGCTGGCCAATTTCGTTTCCAGTATGAGGATACTCTATAGCAATCTACCTGTATCGATTATCTCTACCCTAAACCGGTTCCCTCGCGAATATTACCTGAAATCCCCAAGCCGCCAGATTGCCGGGCTTCGACACGTACCAAGGTATTTATCTCGTACTCCTCCTTTCTGGACAACACCATCGTGAAGGTCGTTGCTGCCAAGGGCGGCTCGCGTTAGGAGAACGCTCACAAATACACCCACGTGCTCTCCGTCAACAAAGAAGCGTTGCCAGCTCCGTTCGTCTCATCTGCCATTGTACCCTCCTCGACCCCGACAACACAGACAAAGGATGACCAACAGCGCAGAGCGAGATTGCACATCTAATTTTGTATTCCGTACTCCCTAACTCCGAACCCACCCCCTACTCTTCAAAAGAAGAAGGAAAAAAAAAAAAAAGACCACTTGCTCCATCTTCACCCCGGTATTGAAAGGCCGGCTCAATTTATCACATGATCCAAAGAAAGGAAGAAGAAAACGTCTTGTTGTGTCAAATAGCTCTCTCTAAGCACGCCCGGTTCTGACTCGAACGGGGATCGGACGAGAAGCCGTGCTTTCCAAGATTGCTCTTGAGGGTATCTTGACCAAATTTGCTCCGTGGCCCCGAATAGGCCCCAGCTGCCTCCCAATGCTCATATCCCTTCCTTCCTTCCTCGTCATCACTTCATTTCACTCCTTCAGTCCTCCTCTTCAACCCCCTGGCACCAAGGATGCTCCAGGACTTGGTTGATGTCGTATCTCGCAGTTACATCACGGTCGAGCATACGCCGCACCAGGTCGATGCTCTCGTCGCTCATCGTCCACGGGACGCGCAGGTCTCGGTCCATGATCTCGTCAATGCTGTAGAATGGGTTCTCCTTGTAGATGATGGTGTAGAGCAGGATTCCGAGCGCCCATACGTCTTGCTCCCTACCACCATATGGCTTGCCTGCGAGCACCTCCGGAGCAGCGTAATCTGTGTCATGGTTAGCTCTCGTCACCCCAATACAAGCAAGAACGGGTCGACTCACCAATAGTACCCACGAAGACATCAAAGGGGCCGTTCTTGATATACGCTGCGCTCCCAAAATCGATCAACTTGATGTTGCCCTCGCCGTCCAGGATCACATTCTCATCCTTGATGTCTCTGTGGACTACCAGGGCCTTCGTATGAAGATGGCCAATGGCTTTGGCAACCTGGACGAAGATGCTCCGGCACTCGGCCTCTTCCATGTTGCTCCGTAGTTCAATGTAGTCGAAGAGGTCCATGCCTGGCAGTCCGTGAGGCACCATTTCGATGTAGTAGTTCACGTCATCCTCAAAAAATGATTCCATCTCGACAATGTTCGGATGTCGCAAGTCAGGACGTCGCAGGTAGTCAAGAACGTGGATCTCTAGAGGCACCGTGCCTAGCTTGCGATCCCTCGTCCAAGTGTCGACCAGAATGCGTCGCTTTGTCACGTACTTCAAAACCACCTTCTTTTGCGTCGTCGTGTACCTGGCCAGTTTGACCTGGCCGTAGGCACCCTGACCCATATCCTCTATGATTTGGAAGTCGTCGATCGACTTCTTCTGCTGGGCCGGCTCGACCACTGGTGGTACGGGTGCCTTGTCATGCTTCTTCTCGGCTCGGGGCCCGCCAGTCAGTTTCGCAGCGGCCGTCATGGCGACTTCTTTGAGTTGTTTGGTAAAACCCGACGCAGTCGAGGATGACGACGCTGCTGCAGGCTTGGGCTCGTCGGAATCTGAACTAATCTCGATTGGCGTGTGTGCGGGCGTCTGCCCAGGTGACGGCTGATGCAAGGGAGTCGTCGTTCCAGAGCCAGAAGCTGGCGTCACGCCTAGATTGGCCCGGGAAGCGTGCATGTGCCTGGAATAGGTGATCCAAAGGGCAAACACTATTTCGGAATGAGGAATCAAGAATGAGTCGTCGTGGTTTTCTCCGCCCTTGTCCTCGTCTTCGTCCTCAATGACAGTCTCCTGTATGACCGTGGACTGCTTTGCGCTTCTGACCACTCGCATCTGGACGTCGATTTTGAGCCCCGAGCCGTCCCTGTGTTTACCCGGCAATCCGTCCGGCCTCAGGAAACTAGCTGCAGCATCTGGGCGGTTCTCCCTTAGGCCCAAAATTGCCGAGGCTCGGCGGAAACTGTGCTCCGGCACCACAATCCCGTCCTGCAACTGCACGCCGTCCTCTTCTGTCAAGATATGGAGGACCTTCTCGAAATCGGGAACCAGCGAATCAATGGGCATGCCGTCAGGCTTTTCGTACCCAAACAGCGCACCACAGAAAACCGAGTTGGAGCTCTGAATCTTCAGTGTCTCGGGGTCCACTACAATGATGCCTGCGATATGCGGAAAGCTCGAGACGCGCAGTTCTGTCTTGCCCCGAACTTGCTCGACGGTGCAGGGAATGTTGACTCTGGCTGGGTTCGGGCATGTGAAGAACCTACGTCTGGCAATCTGCGCAAAGTCCACCTCGCCGGTGCGAGGGTCGATGCCTTGTCGAGGAATGCGCGGTATCAGCTTGCCGATATCGACCCCGCTCTGTAGCGATTCGAACCCCCAGATCGGTGCTGTGGCCCCAGAGATCTTCTGGATGATGCCTTCGTCGTCGAGTTCGATCTGTGCCACGTCTTCGTGGATTTCCTCAAGGACCCAAATGAGACCGATCCGCTTCTCCTTGACCCAGAGACTTGCGGAGCCCGTGGCGCCGTTTCGTTTTTGAATGGGAACGACGTCTCCACATAGGAGAACACCCCGGGATCGACTGCTCTGGTGCCGCGAAGTTCCTCTGAGTTTGGGAGGGTTCGGGTCTCCACTATGCACGGTTTGGGCTTTCCGTGCGACTGCTTTCGGTGGCTGCGATCGCGAGTTAGGCTTGCTCAGCAATTGGGCGGTGATTCCACCTCGCCCGCCCAGAAGCGAAGATGTGGAAGGAGTCGGTGGAGATACCGTCGTCTTTGGGATGTCTTCTGCCTCTTTGATGACATCCTCGGGGTCCATCTGCAGGAGTTTCTTTTCCAACCAAGCCCTCCGCTCCTCCTGGACCACCTCCAAGATGCCCATCTTCCGGACCTCTGCCTTGGTGACGCCAAAAACCAGACAGGCAAGATCGTTGGCTGCAATGATCGTCCATGGCGGCTTGGACTCCGTTGTGAAGATGGCCTGCGCTGCCGGGACCCATCTCGTGGAATGCCCATGAACAGCCGGGCCCAGTGCGTTTGGCATGTTTGATGCGGACAAGGGATGTGCCGTTGTGGGGGATGTAACCGCCTCCTGATTTGCCAGGTAAGGTTGCGCCATGGTGTCGATGAGCTGTTGATGAACCGAGACCGGTAGCGTATCCGTCAGTGTCCGCTTCAGGCTGAGTCTCCGGGACGGCGGCGGCGATGTTTTGGTTGTCGTCCCGCTCTCGTTTGTCGGCGTCCTGCTCGAGTTTTCTGATTCGTTGTCGGCCGCGGGTGGTTTCTGTGTCTCATCTTGTGCCGGCTTCTTTGCAGTGTCTGCTCTGGCAGCCGGCGCCTTTGAATGGGTCGTGGTAGGAGACGTACTCGGCGAAGTCAGAGGCTCGGGGCTCGAAGTTCGCGGAACGAAGTTGGCTTCGAACAGATTCTCCCCCGAAACTTGCGGGGGACCTGTCAGAGGGCCGACGAGTGACTGGTCCATGGATGGAAGGTTGCCCGCCCCAACAAGTTGTGCTCTAGCCAACAGGTCTAGCATGTTCTGGGTCTCGACGTCGCCCGTCGCTCGCGCTTGCGCACTTGCCAGTGCAACGTTTGAAGGCGAGACGGACCATCCCATCCTGTCTTTCATAAAGTCTATGGATCGCTTGAGGACGTTCTGCCGGTTATGGATGAATTCTTCGGACTGGTGGGCGAAGGAGAAGGAATGCAATGACTCGGAAGGGAAGCGGGAGAGGTCTTCGGAAAAGTTGGGCGAAGAGGGATGCGAGCTGAAGGGCATGCCGGGAGAGTTCACAAGTAACGTTGTCATGGACGTTGATCTTGACAGGCCGATCGAGGAGCTTCTGGATGTGGGGTTCGAAGGAGCTCGCGACGAGGGCTGTTGTCGGATACGACGCAATCCCGATAGACCAAGGCCGTGATCATGGTCCGTTAGGATTGAGGATCTATGGCTAGAAGAAAACCTGTCAGCTACGATGATGCCTCGAATGACTTTGATCGCCATGTGATGGTTCAACCCGCCACTAAGTGACTGTTTGAATGATGCACTTGCACCCGTGACATACATTTGCTTGCCACCCGGCAACAAACATTAAAAAAGAACAAAAAAACATAGTCATGTATCATTGTCGCCCGCTCTTTCAAATATGCATACTCCGCCTTATACTGCGATTGAATATCCCACTTGGAATCATTCTTTCATCCTTTGCAGGCTCCAATGCGCCCATATAGACGCCGCGCGCGCCCCATCGTCTAAAACCTTGTGTTTCGTTGTCGAGACGGCCATCTTGGCGACGCAGAGCAAAACCCAACCATTGACCAAATGGTCATCGACTCGGCAGCTTTGCCAGATCGGTAGGAGGCATCGGGGAGTATCCAAAGGTGAGACCAACCTTTGCATCGCTTCGCCGCCATCCACAATGGAGCTGGCATCGAAGGAAAAGCGCATTCGGCCAGAGCCAGCGTTGTTATCGGTTGTGACATCGAGATTCCCGGTGCTTCGGTTCTTGGGGAGCTCCAGCTGGGTCGTCGGGGTCCGGCTCCTTCCCCGAGGCTCTTCATGGTGTTTGTCGGTGCCTACAAACCGTGGGAGAGGTCTAGGTCAGAGAGGACGCGGCGATTCGAAACAGGAGGGAAATTGCGTGGCCGGCAAAGACGTACCATTGTTGTGAGGTCCCCCATGCGGCCGTAGCATAATTGGAAAGAAGAATAGCAGTCGATTCGGATAATTGTCCTAGGGAGTAGAATATGCGGGCAGGATGCGGATTCGACGATGCAGGTTCGGGTTCGGCGGGGTCGAGTTGAGGAGCGAAAGGTCGGTCTAGCAGGTATTGAACGGTGGTTCGGCTCTGGTTTGTCTGGGGCGGTCGGCGGCGAGAGGAGAGAACGAATGAGTGGTGCCCGACGATTGGCAGTGCTTGCTGAGAGGTGCAAGGTGTTGTACGACGGTGGCTGTTCCAGCTAAAAGTAATAGGCAATGAGGTACGGAGTACAAAAATGCAAAACACTCCCACAAGAAGCACTACCTCTGTAGGTAAGGCCAGGAGGTATGGGGTGGGAGTCAGAGGGGAGGTAGATCGGGTTCCAATAAGCAAGCAAGGTTTGCCACAAGGATGAGGGTGCGAGTGTTTTGGGGCCGACAAATAGTGTGAGGAAAAAAAAGCACGTTCTGTCCTTTTTTTTTTCTTCTCTCTTTCTTGCTCGTGGACCGTCCTGTACAAACAGACAACAAGAAGGGCGGCGAGGGATCGGGAAGAGAGACAGAGAGTTTGAGGAAGGATTGATGGAATGATCCGACGACAAACAATTCCGAAACTAGCGACGATGGTGGTGGTGGTGGTGGTGGTGGTAGTTGTGGTGGAGGGGAGTGAGAGTGAGGTGGACGTAGGCTCGTTAGCAGCGAGTGGCTAGCAGCAGCAGCAGCAGCAGCAGTAGCAGTAGCAATAACGGCAGCGGTAACGCAACAGCTAAAATCAGACCACAAAGGTCGAAAGAAGCGTCTCGTCGTCCTCTTTTCTTTGGGAGCCGGTTCTTCTGGATCTGGATCTGGTTTTGGTCCTGGCACGGGTCAAGCAAGGCCCAGTCCGGTCCGAGTCGATTCACCGAAGGGCCAGGAAAGGGAACGTGAGTCGTCTCGCCGTCTTGTGCTAGTACCACCTCGGTGCCAGCGCCAATGCCAGGAGAATGCCAATGCCAATGCCAATGCCGATGCCAATGCCAGTCAGTGTCAGTGCCGGCGTCAATGCCGCAACCGGATGTCCTCTAGCTCGCGCTCTCTCTCTATCTCTCTCTCTCTCTCTCGTTCAGTCCACTCCGGTCCGGCCCAGCTACTTCTGTTCTTCTGCTTTCTCACTCGCCCTTTTTTACTCTCTCTGTCTGGGCTGCGCCGTTGACAAGCGCGAGTGTCGAGAGTCAGGGAAACAAACAGGGCCAAGCAAGGCGAGTGGCTAGTCTTACACCTGGCAACTTACCACCACGTGCGCCTGGCCTCGTGAGAGGATCGTCTGCCGTAATCGTCCAAAGATGGGCTAAGACTGGCTTGAGTAGTGACAGAAACCTGGAGGCAGGGAGGAGGGCGGCTTTAGTCTCTGGTAGTTAGTGCACACACAGCACGGTGTTAGCGCAGGTGCTTGTCCGTAATGTAGGTAGCGACGGAGGAGACCTCGGGAGCTGGGAAGTGGCTCCCTTGTCAAACCCAAACAGCAATGCAGAAGCTGGGGGTTAGCAGCGGGCGTCAGGTCACGGATGGTGCGGGGGGGACGGCGGCGACGACGACGGCGGTGTGTTGGTGACGTGACGAGGAAGATGGAGACAGCACAAGCTCAATGTCACCTTTGGGGCTCTGAGAGAGATACGAATCTCGCTCTGTGGACGTCGATGGTTGGTGAAGTAAGGGAAAGGAGAGGAGAGGAGAGGAGAGGGGAGGAGAGAAAAGAGGAGGGGAAGATGGCAGTAGTGGACGAAGAGGGGAACAATTCCAAGAAAGAAAGGGTAAAAAAAAAAAGTCCACTCTGCTGGCTTCTCTGGTGATCGAAAATTTTGAGATGCATCTGTCCACAGCTTCGGATTATTACCAGCCAAACATTCTGCATCTGCACATGTGTGTCCCAGTTGCCTCACCAAAACCCTCTCTTCTCCTATCAGGAGGAAACCCCCCGCCCCCCCGAAATTCGCTTCAAGGTACATATACAGGGCGGTCCCTCTTAAGGTCGCACATGCATACACACAGTGATACTCTAACACAGTCGGGAAAACACCCGGAAATTCGCAAGTCGTGCCGATTTCTGCAACTCTAGGTGGGCACACAGCACAAGTTACAGGCTTGACTCGTAGGGCACCGAGGCTATTACAATCACGCTGATTGGAGGGTTTCGCACGCGGCACCGGGGCCTCAGAGAGGGCCGAGGAGGGGAGGAACACGATGGAAGCCCACTGGAGATGCAGTTCCGCGACGGCCGGCCCATCGGTGGAGCCCTCTCGTTGATACTGAGCGGCGGCACCGGCTGTGATATAATACCCCGGGAGGGTTCCACGCTCGAGAAAAGGGGCTGTAGATCCCGGGATGCGTCACAGTGCCGCAGCCACGCCCCGGCGAGTGACATACTGGCCGAGTCCGCCGCTATTCAAGCAGCCATCATCCCTATGCCGGTGCGAGATTCGATCATCACCGCCCAAAGCAAACCTCATCGTTGCGGTGCCGGCTGCCTGCCACACCTGACAGGACGGAACACCGGGCGGAAGCATTCCCGTCGTCCGCCCCATTCGCACACCAACCCCCGACTAGACAGACCCTTGCCGACAACAGCCTTTCCATCAAGACAACGCAGCGCAGTCCTGGCAGGCTGTGGCCTACAAACAAGATGCACAGTCATGACAGCCTCGATGCGCACGACTCGCGCGATACCCTGCTCAGCAGGTTACTACTACTACTACCACTACTACGCGCACGTTGGCCAGCACCGCAAATAGGGGCCCAGTAGTTCACCAAGACTGTCCGTTGGCAGTCAATTTGACGACATGGACGTATGCTTGCCGCTTGCCATCGCACCCCCGCGTCTGGCAGATCTGGTGGCCACGGGAGCATATAGCCGCCATGCTGCTGGTTTCAGAGAGTAAAATAAAACATGCTGTTAACCGTCTTGGCCATGAGCTCGAAGAGGTATGATATTCGCCTAGGTAGTCTCGAACGACGTAGGTGATATTCCCTAATCTTATCGTTGAACTGTTAGAATTTCCGGCACGTGGCTGGAGGTGCCCACATAACTCTTTCGCCCTCGATGTCGAGGCAAGGCGGAAGTTAAAAGATGCATAATGGTGCCCTCAAACACTGCATCGCAATACGTCGAGGCCAACAACCTGCGCCGAATTCAGTAACTGTCTCGATGGTTCACAAAGGACGGCTCTTTGGCACGACGGCTCGAGGATGTTTGAGACAAGTGGATCATGAGATCTCATGACGGACAGGGTCAGGTTGAGATCGTCTTGAAGGAACCACCGTCTTGGACGCGAGGCCGCGATGCGATACTGGGCAGGTCGTTCGGCGTAGAGAGTGTGTACTTGCATGGTATCCGCCAAGACTGGGCGTTTTAAAGGTGTCGCGTGGCTCGTCGCTTGCTACGTCCTTATCTCCCCTACCCGAGTCGGCTGATGTGTGGTCATATATAGGGCCCCGAGCTTCGGCGTGAAAAGCGTCAGCCGATAGGGCCGGTCTGTGTGTGGTAGTACTCAGAAGTGCGCTTGATCAAGAAGGAAAAGGCTGGAATACCAAGAAGCCGCTTGAAAACAGTCGTGTCAAAAATGCCACGTTGGATCTGAATGGAAATCTGCCAAACCGCTGCGGTCTCGAAGATTTCGTGAACCGACATGAGCGCGGCGAAGATGGCCACAGAAATGGACTGGAGGTGGGTTCGATTGTTCCAGGTCTCTCGTCAAGGCGGAGGGCGCTGAGATGGCCCCGCTTAAAATGTCGCATTCGGGTCGATGCTGATGAAAATCGTTTCTGTAGCCAAGAGTCGTTCGGTTGCGGCGTGGGCCAAGGAAGACGGATTGCAATACCGCCAAAGTGCTTTCTTCCGCGAGCCTCGAGGTGTTCAAAGCGGGCTGTATTGAGCTAGTCTGTTTCGTCAGTTTCGGCTGGATGGGGTATTCTTTCCTTTTTTTTCTTCTTCCTTTTCAAGGCGGGTTACCGGCATCATCCTACCTACACCGTAGGAAACTTCGGATGGAAAAGCGCCTGATATATCTGTCGGCGAATCAGGTAGCACCGGTGCAGATACATGGCTAGGTACATATCTCGATAAGACCGAGAGACGGCGCCGAAATCATGCAGGCAGTCAGCAGAAAGACGCAACGGCTACAGTGACGGCGGCTGGCGAGTGATTCTTGGGACAGTCTAATTCCTCGATTGACTGGTGATGCAGATAGTAGCGGGTGGCGGTTCCGGAGTGCAAATCAATACCCACCCAAGTGCGTCGCGGCAAGTCCAAGGGTCCTGCAAAATGCGCTAGCGAGCATTAGGAAGAGACAGAGAGAGAAACGTTGAGGGAACACGCAGGATCCGACATGCAGATCCGATGCTCAGGTCCCTGCTTAGACAGACACACTCTCTTCTGAAGGCGGAGGACCTTGCGGTGAGTGAGCTAGCCGACTGCACGCAGCACAACTCGTCGACGACGTGGCGTGCCTTCCATCGAGGTTCATGGTGGTTTTGTGCAGTTTGCCATGCAGTACAATCCAGCGGTGTCGAAGAGCACGGTGTTTCTGGCGGTTTAGTACCTGACCTTGCATCATTTGACTGATTGCATGGCGGTATCAGGGTCGGTGATGGTCACAAAGAAAGAGAGGACGGTGACTTGGACAAGTGCTCAAGTCAGGTTCCCGCCGGTCTGAGGGTCTTGGAGGGGTGTCAGTCAGCGGCGATCTGACTGGTAGCCAGTAGTGGGGTTCTGATCCTCTAAGGAGACCCATTATTTCCTCTTTAGCCGACGCAACGATTGGTTCCTGACCAAACAGGCAGTCTGCACTCCGGGCAGGCCTCGTCCTTCCACATCCCCCCCCCCCCCCCCCCCCCCCACTCCACCCACCCGCTCTTTCTCGCCGGGCCACGGGCCCCGCATCAGGTGGGTCAAGTGGGAGAGTGAAAGAGGTATGTATCTTGCTGCGTATCGGCCGCCAGTAACGACTTCGCATGTCCTCTTTTGCCTCCCGTTCCCTTGGACAGTTGGGATCGATCTAGGCCGACCAACCATCCTCTGCGGTCGTCCCCTGCGTTGCGGTGGTCGGCGGTGGATCCTGCTTCCAGACTCTTTCAGTCGCTGTGCCACTTTCCAGCTTCAGAAAGGTCTTGGGCTGGGCTGGAAAGGCGGGTAAGACGAAGCTGGCAGCTGCATCCAAGCTTAGCCAGCGGCCACCTCCCCAGAGTCAGAACCCATGCTGTTGTCCCAGGTACACCCTGAGGATTTGGATGCAGAGGCAAGTAAGCCAGGTGTTTGTTTGTACCATCGGGGGCCGTCAGAGTGATGAAGCGACTCGTAAACTACCAAGTAATAGGTGTGAGGGGTGCGGTGAGAGTCGTGCATGACGGGCCGGGATCTATCAGTGCCAGTCGAGAAGAGAGGGAGGGACCCTGTTTCGCCGACCTGGATGGGAGGGGGAGGGGCATGGCGGTGATGGAGGGTGTGAGGGCCGTTTTGTATATCCGGCCCAGAGCGCGTTTTAAGCTTCTGTTGTTGCTTCCCGTACGTACCGTACCGTACCTGTACCCTTCGGCGGTGCGCGAGCGCGGTCGAATTTTGCCAAAAGGTAACCATTGTTTCCCTCTTATGTTTCTCATCCTCCATTTGTTTTCTTCCTCCTCCATTCTCATCCATCTTTACATTCCCGCCTTCTCACTCTTATCTTTCCCGAACTCATTGTCTTCTTGTTGGTTCCCCCCCTCAACTCCCAATATCTTCCCCGACCCTGCTCGTGTGACCTGCCACCAATAACCCAACAGGCCATGATATCTTGAGCTTCGGTGTGCCATGTGCTCCGCCCCAACCCGTAAGGTCCCCTTCTTCCAGCCTTCCAAGGCTCCACCCTCCGCTACCTGCACCGGCTGACCTCCATGATCGATAGCTGGCACCCGTTTTCTTAGCAGATCCTACTCTACAGAACCCCTGTCTACCCCTCCGCTTCTGCCTCCTCCCCCTCCAAAAGATAGAAAGAGCGGGCATTCGAGACAACATCCTCTCCCCGATTATTCGTGCCCTATGCCTCATCCGCTCTTCTAGGGACCTGGTCCGTCTCTCGAGTTGTCTCGAAAGAAAAAAAAAATACTCCCCCGTCTCTCCAACACACGGACTATGAATTAGGACCGTTCGTTCCACTGCCTGTTTCGAGCGCTTTGCCCTCATAAGGCCTCCTCGAGTTTGCTGTTTATCCTGTAGTAGTCCCGGAGCCTTTTGATCCCACTTCAGGTCGGCGTTTTGCACATTTTCTTTGTCCCAAAGCTCGTCGTCGAATCTCCAAAATGACCGACACTACCGAGACCCCCGCAGGGCCTACCACTATGGAGGTGGTTGACGAAGAAGGCCCCGGTCTCTCGACTTCATCTACCAAGACCAAAGGCCGCCACCTTGTGCTCTGTGGCGTGCAACGAATACCCTCCTCACCTTCTCTGTCCAGGACCGGTCGTACGAGATCGCACAGCAGTCCCCAGCGCGGACGCGTGAATGTCTCCTGCGTGAGCTTGGCAGGACCTTCGACCTCCGCAACTTCTTTTGGTGGCGATTCTTACTTCCCTGCCGGAGTGACAGCATCTGGCTACGCCAGCGCCTCGAGCTCGGTTCCAGGAACACCCTCGAGCGAAACCGTCCAATTCGTGGGCATTGACAGCCGTCTGGCTATCCGACGAGTCGACAATGTCTTTCCCATGTCGCAGTCACCAGTGCCTCAGACAGTTGGGCTTCCGTCCGACATGAGGACGACGAGCAGAATCCAAATCGCAAACCCTGAGGTACCCAAGCGTGGCTTCGACTTCTGGGAGAACATGCCTCACGAGATGCGTGTGCAAATATTCTCCTACCTTACACCCAAGGAGCTTGTACGAGCTTCGCGCGTTAGCAAGATGTTCTACAAGATCTGCTTCGACGGGCAGTTGTGGACATGTTTCGATGCTACGGAATTTTACCAGATCATTCCTGCCGAGTCGCTTGCCAGAATCATCGTTGCTGCCGGGCCTTTCATTAAAGACCTAAACCTCAGAGGCTGTGTCCAGGTCGAACACTATAAACGGGCTGAGGTGGTCGTCAAGGCCTGCAAGAACCTGGTCAACGCCACGCTTGAAGGATGTCGCAATTTCCAACGCAATACGCTACACAACCTGCTGAGGAGCAACGACCAGCTCGCCAACCTAAACCTGACTGGGTTGACAGCAGTGACCAACATGTCCTGCAAGATCATCGCCGAGTCGTGCCCGCAGTTGGAGACGTTCAATGTATCGTGGTGCGTGCACATGGACGCACGAGGCATCAAGGCAGTACTCTTGGGGTGTCCCAGACTGAAGGATTTGAGGGCCGGAGAGATTAGGGGCTTCGACAACCTAGAAGTCGCTGATACGATCTACGAGAAGAACAACCTCGAAAGGCTAGTTCTGAGTGGCTGCGCCGAGCTCAACGACCGCGCGCTCAAGATCATGGTACATGGAGAAGACCCCGAGATCGACATCCTTACCGACCTACCCGTCGTCCCCCGAGGAAATGGCGTCACCTCGATCTCAGCCGCTGCTCCCGCCTCACGACCCAGGGGGTGAAGGCTTTAGGATACAACGTCCCCGATCTTGAGGGACTGCGGCTGTCCGGTTGCACCGCGCTCACAGACGCCGCGCTGGAGCCCATATTGGCATCCACCCCACGCCTGACACACCTCGAGATGGAGGACTTGTCAGGTCTCACCAACAGTCTCCTATCAGATCACTTGGCCAAGGCCCCCTGCGCGCGGTGGCTAGAACACCTGTCCATCAGCTATTGCGAGAACCTCGGCGACAGCGGCGTGCTCCCGGTCGTCAAAAACTGCGTCAGCCTCCGAACCATGGAACTCGACAACACCCGCATCAGCGACCTCGTCCTCGCCGAGGCGGCTTACATGGTCAACAACCGCTCCCAAAGCACCGCGGCGAAGCCAAAACCGCGGGTCGGCCTGCACATGGTTGTCTACGACTGCCAAAACGTCACCTGGACCGGCATCCGCGAGGTCCTCTTCCGCAACGCCCAGACGAAACCCTCCATGTCCGAGGCTGGCAAGTTTACGTACTCAGCCGAGGCTGTCAGTCTCAAGTGCTTCTACAAGTTCCAGATGACTGTCGACGAGCATATGAAGCGCGTACTCCGGGGCGACCTCGCCGCCGCCAACCGCCTCGAACGCCGGTGGGCAGACTACATGCAGGCCACCGAGGAGGCAGGGACCGCCGGAGCCGGCTACCGTCGTCGCAGGCGCAGGGCTCGCGAGGCGCAGATTCTGCATGCCGACGAGGAGGAGGGTGGTAACGGTGGTCGCCGGCGGGGTCGGACCGTTGGGTCCTGTACCGTCATGTGATGCGGTAGACTCACTCTTTAGGAAGCCGTCGGAAGCTTCAGGAGAGATGCATCTAGCTTCTTTTTCTTCTTTTCTTCTTTTTTTAGACACTTTTTTTCTTCTTGGTTTTTTATTTTTACTTTATTTTATTCTAGCTGTGTCGATTTATATTTACATAGGGGCGTTCGGTGCAACCTACATTTTGGTTGCTAGACTGGGGATGCATTGCCATTTCTCTCCGTTCGTTAACGGATGAGCTCAGGCGTCTCGCATCAGGACTGGCGTCACTTCATTGAGCCTCTCTTATTTGCTGCTGCTTTTTTGTCATTCTTCAGAAGAAGAACTCCATGCTTTTTTCTTTCTTTTCTTTCTTCCCCTTTCTTCCTATACGGTGTTCTGGGAGATCGGGCTTGATCATTGGCCAAACGAGACGGGCACTTCTGCGCTGGATTAGAGGGTTTCCCTCTATGACTTGCGAAGGGAAGACAGATTGCAAGGCATTTGCGCCTTGGAGGGTGGTATCATGTACTTATCCTAGAACTTTTGGGTGGTGCTGCAGCTGTTTGAATGGCACACATCACATTTTCCGTATAGGCCAACGGTCCCATAATCTTGCGTGAAAAAGAAATGCCTAATCACACCCACACCTGATGGATTGAGATTCCGTCTTTGCCACAGGGAGCAGGCTACTTCTGTCATACAAACCGTGTGCAGCCCAAAGATACCAAGTAGGTACACTCCATCGGCTCAGTGCGCGCCGTGCTGGCGGATATACCGACGGATCTTTTCCTGGAAGACGTCGTCCTCGTCGCGCCTCTCGTCGCCCTCCATGACGTACATGTCCTCGCCTTCGTCCTCGTCCAGGTCGCGGGCGTCGAACTCCTCCTCGTCCGAGGCGTTGGCGTTGCGGAAGAGGTAGGCGTGGCGGTCGTACTCGTCCTCGGAGTCGACCTCATCCTCGGGGTAATCCGCCGTGTAGTGGTTCTCGGCTGCGGCCGCGCGTCAGTATACGGAGAGCTCTGGGTCGACCCCTTTAAGACAATGGGGGTGGGAGGGGGAGGGGAGATTGAAACTGGGAGAGAGACTTACCGTTTTCGTCTTCTTCGTCATCGTCGTCCGAGTCGTCGTCCTCGTTGCCGTAGAACAGCTCCAAGTCCTCCTGCGTATCGAACCTCAGCACGCCAATCTGCTCGGGCGGGATCTCGGCCAACGCGGTCTTTGAGGGCGCCAGCTCGTACACCTCGATGACGTAGTCGTCGTCGCTGCTCTCCTCGTCACCGCCGCTCGCCTCGGCCATCTCTTCGTCGCCGCGGCCGCTGCCGTCGAGCTCCCTCGCCAGCTCGGGGTGCCGCTGGGCGAAGCGCTTGGCCGGTGCCTTGGGCTTGAAGCGGGACGGCGACGCGGCGCCGGCGGCTGCCGGCGCCGCGGGCGGTTGCTCCATCGACTTCAGGTTCAGCCCGATCTCGTGCAAGACCCACTGGTCCATGTCGGCGGCGATCTTGTCCAGGTCCTGGGTGGGCGCGACGCTGGGCATGGGCTTGCGCTCCGCGTCGACGTTGGGCGCCGCGGGCCGGGGCGGGCGTTTCGCGAGGGGCTTCTTGGGCGCCGGCTTATCCTCATCCTTGACGCCGACGTCCGCGGATGCGAGAGCGGCGCCCTTCTTGTCCGCGTCGAGCTTGTCGAGCGCCCTCCGCGCGCTCTTCTTCTTCCCCCGCTCCACGAAGACAGCGGTGCCGTAGCGGCCCCGTTTCGTGACGCCGCCGCCAGCCTTCAATATCGTGCTGCCGCTGGGGGAGCTCATAGCTGACCTGGACATGTGGAATCGTCTCGGCTCGACGGCGGGGTTCGTTGGCCGCTGTGGCCCCGCGGCGGTTGACGTCGTTGGCGCCTGCCCGGCGGGCGCCGCGTTCGCTGCGGACGGCACATCGCTCGACAACGCGGAGGGGATGCTCGATGTTGGGGGCCGGCGGGAGCTGGAGATTTCGTCTCCGGGCTTGGATGACTGGATAACGGGCTTGGAGTGGGCGGCGGCGGCGGCGGCGGCGGATCTGGCACTGACCTTTGCCAAGCGTCTTTGGTAGACCCAGCTGCTGCCGGCCAAGTGCCTCTTGGATCCTGGCTCAAGCTCTGTCGTCTGTTAGTACGTGTGTGGTCCCCAAAGGAACAGTGAAGAGAGGGAGTCGCACGAAGGTAGGTAACCGGCACATCCTCATCGCCCCGCTTCCGTTTGATGTGGATCAGCTGAGGAGGGGCAGACATGGCGGGCGAAAGAGGCTCAGAAGTTCTTTGGCGCTGGGATACAAAGAGGAGAGAGGGGGTGAGGTATTGAGTTCGTGCTTGCTATTGCCTTGTGGTTCTGAAGAGGGGATTTGCTAGGGAAGTTGGAGCTGCGATCCCTGGTTTGTGGTAGGCTCTGCCACGTCGCAATTCATGCAGTGACGTTGATGGGTGTTTTTTTTTTTTTCTTTCTCTCTCTCGTTTGCGAAATGTGGATTTTTCTGGAAGCCTCCCGCGATTCAACCCAAATGAGACCGGGACCACATGTCGGAGACAACGAAGGTCAGATAAGCCTACCTTATCAAGAGATCACGTCATTGGCCAAGAGCTCCCACCGCCTTTGGCAGAATCGACCACTGTCCGGGGATAGCCCCAGACGGTGGCTTTCACTACCGGACGGGGAACTGGGACGTTGAAGCAGCCCCGCCATACCCGAACCAAAGCTGAGCTTTCCACGTCCATGCAATGCTGTGTCCCGCTGATACTGCAGCCAATTGGAATCCAGGAGCCGTTATTGGGGTATCTGGGCCGTTCTGATCGCTAGATCGTTTGCCCATCGATTTTGGTGGGTAGATTCAAAGGATAAGGCAAGCAAAGGTACGGCTGGGTAGAGCAGACGTTGGAGAGGCATCATGGAGCTTGGCATATCTAGCCACTCAGCGTTTGCCTCAACTGGACAACTAGCTTGCGTAGGTAGGCATTTTGTGACAATGGAAACTGTATTTCAGGGGACCTGCGGCTGACTGAAAGACCGCTTTGGTTCAGAGTCAGGAACTGGGCATTGGCAATTTCTCATTGTGTAGCACAGTGGATGGAAAAGCTGTGCTGGGTGGCCAGCGAAATGTCGGTGTTGAGTGCAGCCTTGGCAAAGCCATTGTGCAATCATACGACATGTGAGGAGATCGGGGGAAAGGGATTGCCTCTCATCATCAGTCGACTATCCATTCCACACAAAGCATGATGGAGGTACACTAGCTGAGGGGTGTCTAGTCCTTTCTTCCACTGGGGCCAAGGATGGTGCTTGATGGCTTGTGCGTCATTGGAAAGTCTCCGATACCTTGGACCGATGAGCCGCCAGGCCCAATGAGTATGTCCCCGCGACCTCCCCTGCCTTCAGCATGCATCAGGGATGATGACGCGCCAGGCATGCCGACACTGAGATGGAGTAAACGACGGCTACGGTGCTGATAACCGCTACTGATGCCCAGGCGCCCCAGTGTGATATGATTTGCAGTATCTCTCGCACCTTGTGCATTGCGTTGGGGAGGTTTCCCGCTAATAAAACTGGTATCAAATCGGGGACGAAGGGAGGTGTCGCAATGCTGCAATTTTGTCTCGTGCCTCACAACAGATACACACGCCTTTTTGGGTTTGTTCGTCCTAGTACGGACGGCATTTGCCAGGCGCGCACCATTGCTGCTATAAACAGCTACCTCCTTATGGTAAAGCAGCGTGCCTTCCCTTGGCCATTCATCAAGGCGTCCAAGTTTGCATCCCGTCAGCTACCTTAGTATACGTACCTGTCCGGCCAAAGATGGCAAGTACCTCGTCCGAGCTTCTTCCTCTCACCCTTCCCAACCTTCGTCTCCTCAATTCCCCAGTCTTCTTTCCCTCTGGAAACTCAAGGAACACTTCCCCCAACGTTTGGTATGTCATGTACCTTAGGTACGGAATAGTCATGCAATGAACCCCCCTCCCCTCCCCTGTGCCACTGCTTCCCTGTTGTGAATTACTGTGCTGTACCTCCCCCCCCACCCAAAACAAGGTCATCGCCTCTCGAACTCTGCTCTCTGAGCTTCTCGCTACTCCGCTCCTAACGGCTTATGTTGCAGTAGCTTCTTCTTCTGCCTCCTCTCTCTTACCTACCTTGCTCTTTCTTCCCCGACAGACCCGGCTTGTTCCCTCAAGCTGTTTCACTCGCACCAACAGATAGCCCGACTCTTCCTCGTCGTGTGAAACACTCAGACGCGGGGACTCCAATCCCGGACTCCTCTCCCCAAGAACTGGTTTGCGTCTCTTGTCTTTTGCTTTTGTCACCACCCCTTTCGACGCCTCTTCCTTTTCCTCCAAAGTTTAAGGTGTCGCTTAGAGACCGCCCCATTCGTCAGAGTGTTTCTCCTTCGACTTCCCAGTCCGTAACCCTCACTGTGGATTCCAAGGGAACGGCTTTCATTTTCTTGTCCCTTCTGTCGAGGCATTCTTTCTCAAGGGTGCTTCTTACCCGTGCTGACTTGAAGTGTGTTAAAAGGAAAGCCACAGAAAGGTCAGCTTTCCTCATCGCTGCTCGCCCGATCGAGTTGGCCGAGTGACAACGGCTTGCTGAGCTTCTTGACATAGGTACCTTGGCGCGGACACCAACATCGACAATGGTTTCCGTATCCATCACGTACAAGAAACCAGGCACGCAGCCTCCCATCTTCGTCGCCGGCTCCTTCTCAGAACCACAATGGCAGCCCCAGGAAATGCAATTCACCACTGAGGACGGCGGAGAACACACCTTTCACAAGGATATTGAGGTGCCGCCCGGCTCGCAGATTCAGTACAAATTTCGAGTTGGTCTAGGTGACTGGTGGGTTCTTAACGAAGACGCCCCTACAGGTAACATTCATCTTTTCTCCTCTTTAGAATGGTCACAGCTAACATGACGGGCCTTGTAGTGACCGACGCATCTGGAAATCGAAACAATATCCTGATAGCTCCGGACGCTGGGGAGGACAAACAGCCGAACGGAGACAACGGCGAAGACTCTGCTAAGACTTCCGAAAGCATGGAGGCCTCGAACGTTGCTACTTCTTCATCAGCCTCTCAGCCCGAGCCCGAGCTCGAGCCCAAGCCCAATGCCATAGGTCATCTCAAGGAAGAAGAACGGCAGCGACTTTCATCAACACCAATCGAGCAAGTCGCAGACACCGCAGCAGAGGTCGCCGACAGCGCCGCGAAGCTTGATGCCGAAGTGGATACGACTCGCCTTGAACCAATCCCCAAAGGCGTGAGTCAGCTGAAGGATGAAGAGCGACAGCGTCTCTCGTCGACGCCCATTGAGCAAGTTGCTAGCGTCGCCGCCGAGGTCGCTGATAGCGCCCAAGCGCTGGATGCTGACAAGGTGGGAACCGCCAAAGAATCAGGCGCCTAGAGACTACGCCCATGGCTAACATTTCAAAAGGATTTCGAACGAAGAGACAATGCGGACGACGGTCCCCCGCCTCTGTTTACTCACGAAGCTCTGGGACCTTATGAACCTTCGGGAAGTGGCGACGAAGATGACGCTTCTAAAGGACTTGATCATCACGGCACCGTAGACTATGACGTCGACAAGTACGATTTGAATGATCCGACGTTGGAACGTTGGCCCTCAAACCGCAGTGGCATCATCGACGCCGTGCGCAAGGTCGAAACCGGACTCAACGAGGATCAGACTAGCTTTCATGGCGCACCCCTATCTCCCGTGATTGGGTCTCGAAAAGCTGGTCTTGATCAGTACTACGAAGAAGCCGTTCTCTCGTCAGGACCTTCAAGCCCGAGTTCTAACAAGAGGCTCGAATTGCCCAGAAAATCCCATGGCTCAATGGTATCGGACAGATCGCTCTTGTCTTTGAGATCAATTGCTGAAGAGGACAAGGAAACGCCGAGTGCCGAGGGAGCCGGCTTCGACGACGACGACGACGATGACGACGACGACGACGGTATGGTGCGGGTGCCGAGCCCCGCGATACGACCAACACCAAGCACCTTGGCATCACCTGCGAGCGACGAGGACGAAGGAGTCGTTATGAAGGGATCCAAGGCCAAGTCTAGGAAGAGTTCGGAGTCAGCGATGTCGGAGTCGCCGCACCTCAATGGCGTGTCCAATGGCAAGCACGTAATGGACGAGTCGCCCAAGGCATCTCCCGCACAGCCAGGTACCCCGGGAGTCGCTGTCAAGACACCCGAGCAAATTGGAGAGTCGAGCAACGCCGAGGACAACAACCAGACAACGTTTGTTGAATTAGGCCCCAACGGTCCGGCCTCGACCACCGGTCGAGATGATGGCCACAAGGGCCAGATCAAGAAGCGCGGAGCTTCATCGGCCGAACGACCCAGCACTCCTGCCTCAATACACAGTGTTACAGACAGTAAGGGTGGCTGGCTACAGGCTTTCTTCCGCGTGCTGTTTGTGGACTGGATCGGTGGTTTGTTCAGCCGAATGTTCGGCAGCCGGAGAAAGGCGTAAGGCTCTCTTCTCCCTCTCTTCCGGTTCGAAAGTCGATCGGTCGCCCATCTTGTTTTCCCCTTTCTTTTGTTCATGTCTTATTCCACACGACATCTGACAGGTTGACTTTTGTCCGTAGGATGCTGGTCACGAGCACGGTCGCCATAGTTGCAGGGGCTGCATGGTGGAAGTTTGCCATGGGCGGCGACTTGAGCTTCGGCAAAACATCACTATGAAGGGGCCACGGAGGGCTGGCATAAGTATTGCAGAGCACTGGAGTTTGCACACTGGCATACCGGCATGGATTGTACAAGTAATGGGGTGGGACGAGCATGGCGAGCATGGTCAGAGGTGTGATGGATTGATTACCTGAAACCTGGGACAGACACTGTGGCGTACCCGGCGGAGGAGGGTTATTGTGTCAAGGAAACATGCAAACAAACACGCACTATTGGACCTGAACAGATTGATATGGCACGGGGAAAATCATGTCTCTCCATTCTTCACGCTTCCTTGCTAGCCCGTGATGAGTGCTGAACTGACAAGAGGCTCATTCACTTGCCTCAAACCACTCTCCAAACAGCACCGGCTCTCTGGGTATCTTTGCCGAGACCGTCGTCTCCCCCACGGTTCATCCTCCTGATCCACTCCGTCTCCCTCTCCACCGCGGCGGCCTCGATCTCCTCCATGACGGCCAGCTCGTCGAGCATGTCCCTCACCAGGCTGCCGCAGCCATCCAGCATGCGCTCCAGGCTCGACGCCTGGGTCTTCCTGCCTCCGCTGGCGTCGTCGTCGTCACCGCTCGCGGCCTCCTCTTCCGCCCCGGCGTACGCCATCTCCCGCAGCTGCGCGTCCCAGCCCTCGAGCTTCCGGACGAGCGCCGCGGCCTCGTCCTTCCAGCGGGCGTCGAGCCCGCCACCGTAGCGGACCTGGGAGTCGGCGTCGAGCAGGGCCGAGGGGTCGCCGGCGTCCTCGGCGCGGGCGCGGGCGGCCTCGAGGTCCGGAAGGGCGGAGGCCCAGCGCTCGAAGGCGCGGACGAGGCGGCTGTGCTTGCCGCCGGGGGCGTCGAGGGACCAGAGGGAGGCGAGGAGGGCATCGAGGCGCTGGATCTTGTCTTCGAGGGTGGCGGCGGCGGCGGCGGCGGCGGTGCCGGGGGCGTGGGGTCCCGAGGGGGGCGACGACCGGCCCCAGCGGCGGAGGGCGGCGACGTTGAGACGCTCGGCGGCGTCGGCTTCGAGGCGGGCGAGGTCGGCGGAGGACTTGGCGAGGTCGGCGTGGCGCGCGGCGAGGGCGGCACGGGCGCTGGCGTGCCAGGCGGCCGTGGTCTGGGGCAGGTCGCGATGCAGGAGGTGCAGCTGGAGGAGCTCGGCCTGCAGGCGGGCCGTCTCGGCGGTGAGGGCGACGTTGGCGGGAAGCTTGGAGGGGGAGGGGGGCGCGAGGTACGTCGCCGTCAGGGGCTTCGGGGCGAGGGACTTGGCGGGGAGTAGTGCTGCTGGAGGGTGTTGAAGGCCGGGCGGAGCGACGCGGTGGTGGTGGCGGCGGCGGCGGCGGCGGCGGCGGTCCTCGGCGGATGAGGACGCGGTGGAGACGCGGTGGGCGAGGCTGGTTGCTGCTGGCGGGTGGGTTTCGGCGGCTGGGCCGGCTTCGCGGGGGCTTTGGGGGCGACTGACGCGCTGGGGGTGCGGGTTGGCCTCGTTGATGTCGTCGTTGAGGTGGTTGTTGCCGAGGAGAGGGAGGATACGGAGGGCTTGGAGGAGAGGCGGTCGGTCGCCGAAGGCGGGCGCGGTCTCGCAGCCGGCGCGGGCGCCGCCGTCGAGGTGGGAGGCGCGCCGTAGAGGGACGTCGGCCGTGCCCTCGCCGGCGCAGGGCCCGCGGACGTCTGGCCGGGCGGCCGCAGGACGGTGCTTCCGTTGAGGGTGGCGACGCTCCTGGCGCGCGCGTGTCCCTTTGTGGGGCCTGACGCCGTTGTGGATGCCGCGCTGGTGGATGTTTTGGAGGCGGCCATGCCTCCCGACGTCGTCGGTCTTGCGGTCGTCGATGATCTCGTCCCGGGTCCGGTGGTGGTAGAGTAGGAGGAGTATTGTCCGAGGTTGCTCGTCGAGGCGTTGGCCGGGTACCGGGTTCGTGTAAGCCCGGGTTCTCTGGTGGAAGACGACCTCGTCAGGCCCGCGAGGGCGCTCGTTCTCGACGGCGGCGCGGATTGGGGCCCAGAGCCGACGGAAGTTGCTGTGCCGGCGGCATCTCGCTGGCGTGTAGGCGCCGTCGGGGCGTTTCGTCGAAAGAGCGTGGATATGGGGTTCGGCTTCTTCTTCACGGCGGCAGCGTCAGTACTGGCCGTCGTGCTGGCGACGCTGGCGCCGGAAACGCTGCGCGTCGTCGGGCGCGGCCGGGGCGCGGGGAGTCTGCTCGGGGAGCCGGGGGGCTGGGCCGAGGCCGTCGTTGTCGCTGCCACTGCGGCGGCGGGGGCTGTTCCGGTCGCGGTCGGGGGCAGGTCTGCCGAGGAGCCCTGCTTCGGCTTCCGCAGCGAGCGGGTGCGAGCCACGGACGAGGACATGATTGGTTTTGGCGGTCACGCGGGTGCCCGACGTCGCCTCTCGCATCGGCGGTCGGGATCCAATTAAGGATGCGGGCCCCCCTTCTCGTTTGGGATGGAATGCCGGCAGATCGGAGATAAATTAAAAGGAAAAAGAAAAGGGTGACAAAAAAAGAAAGCAAGATTCGCCGGATCGTGAGGCAGGTAGATAGGTGGGAGCGGGTCACAATGGGTATGTCAAGGTGAAGCCGAAATGTTGATGTTGACCTCAGGGGCGCATGCGGGTGGTTCTTGCGGTGTGGGGGGGGGGGTTGCTGTGGGACCCGCCCCAGCGGTAGGTTGGCAGTAATTAAGGGTGGGGGACGGGGGGGTTGGTGTTCGGATGGGCAAAACGGGGGACGGTTGGGATCGCTAATCGTAGCAACGTCCTTTACCTATTTACGTCACACAGGGCTGCAGGGCGGAAGTCTTCTCTTCACTTTTTCTCTAGCGCCGGCGCTTGGGTCTTCTCGACTCCCGCTGTCGGCGGGCGGGCTGAGCCGAACGATGACACCCCCCCCCCCCCCCCCCATCTTCTTAACCAGACGCGACGGTGTAATCTCCGGCGCACCCGACATAAAAATCAACATGTCTTAGATTGGGATTGTCGGGCCTTTTTTTTTTTTTGTGCTTTTTTTTTTGTGCTTTTTTCCCCCTCCCCTCTTTGCTTTAGTTTTGCGTCGAGGACCTAACATAGACATTGGGGCAGGCGGCTTCCAATTATTCTTCCATCACCCGGGGGAGGGGGTCTCGGAGCTATTTTCGCGGTACAATGTGATTTGCCATGCATGTCTTGTTGAGACTTCTGGGTATCTATCCAATAGCACATAGTTCGCTCAGGATCTCACAACGGCTGCGTTGCACAAACGAGCTCCTGTCACCCACTCTTTCTCGCGTCGTATTTGGAATCATGTAGTTTATTGGAAGGGCATTCCTACCTATCGTAGTGCCACTTTCCCATCTCTCGTTGTCTAGCTTCGTTTCCGTATGCTCGCCCTCGAGCAAGTAGCATTCCACATCGTACAAAAAAAAAATAACAAATAACAAAAAGAATCATGTGTGCGTGATTTCTCTCTCCGAGGCCACAGAGGGTCCCTACACACAAAACGTGGTATATGGACGGGGAAAAGAAGGGGTATCAACCAACAAACCTCTCTATCTAGTCCCATGATGAAGCAAGCTGTTTTCCCTGATGCATCCGAGGCCGAATTGAACACAAAAAAATGGCCATGTGGTTCCCTTCTCCTATGCCAAAGCAAGCAAGAACGAATTTGCAGAATGGTAATGTCCGTGGTTGAGCCGCAGACTGCTGGGGACTGAGTGCGCCGGGCGTTCTTCCGTCAAACTCTTACGCCTTCTGCACCGCCGGGTCGATGCCTCCAGCTGTGGCAGGGCGCTCCTGCGAGCCGCCGCTATGCGGGTTGGCCTCCAAGTGCGCCATGAGTTTCCCGAGGTCCCTGCGGTTGTTGTTGAAGATCTGCAGACACGAGCCGCACATGCGCACGTAGCAGAACTGGCACTTGTAGCGGTCTTCCGTGTCGGCCTTGCCGCATGTCTGGCAGGTGAGGGCGTAGTTGCGGTTGCGGGTACGGTCCATGGTGCGGTGCTTGACGTAGCAGTCGAACATGCTCTCCTTGAGCGGCAGCGCTTTGATGATGATGCTGGGGCTGGGGGGCTCCTTGCCGTGCATGGGAAAGTAGGCCGCGCGCGGGTCGGCGGGCGGCAGATCCTCAGTCTTAAGCTCGCGATACTGGACGGGTTCCTGCTGGGGACGTTGGTCTCGCGTGGCTAACCGCAGGTCGCCCTGCGTGGGGCCGGGCGCCGGCGCGTGAGGCGCGTAGGGCGGGTACTCGCGGGGTGGTTGTTGCCGTTGGCCCATCTGCTGCTGCTGCTGCTGTTGCTGTTGTTGTTGTTGTTGCTGCTGGATGGAGGTGGAGCGAGGCGATGGCTGGTTCTTCGCTTCGGGACTGACGGGACTGACTGCAAAGTCTTTTGAGATGGTGGGAGGAGCCTCGCTGCTGGTGACGGGCCCGTCCGCTCGAATCTGAGGCAGGCTTTGAGCGGGGTGCAAGTTGCGCGCCCCAACGGCCTTGCGCGGAATCGGCACATTTTGCTCGCTGCTTGCTTGGTCGCGCGCGGGCTCGGGGGACGAAGCGGGCGAGACGGGCGACACGACGCTGTCGACAACAACGTGCGTCTTGACATCCCCCTTGTCGTAGTCGGGGGTCGGCAAGCGCTTGGTCGGCGAGAGGGTGGTGTGGCTATGGGACGCTCCCCGGTTCGCGCCTTCCTGGCCGTCGCGCAGGTGCGAGATCTTTTCCTTCAACTTGGACGCTTCCTGGCCCATGTTGCCCGTCTCTGGGGACTGATTTTGCGAGGCAACGGGTCGAATATTCCTTCCGGGCAAACCCGACGTGGTGCGAGGGGGAAACTGTTGGGATGAAGAGGATACGGCCGAGTTTGGAGATTGCCCGATGTTTGGTTGGGAAGCGGCCGTCGACCCGTGACTGACTGCCAGATGAAGTTGGGGAACCTCCACGTTACGATCGGTCTTTACCGACCTTCTTCTCCACAGTGGTCGCTGCGGCGATGAGGTCGAGTGTGGGCTTGTCGGACTGCTTACAGTCGGGGTCTTGTCCGACTTGGGTGGAGGGGGCGGGCCCTGCCCGTTTCGATATGCCGGGTGAGGCGGCAGGCCCTTGTTTGGTGTGAATTTTTGTGCGCCGTTGCGCTCATTGTCACCAGACGACAATGAGGTGGGCGTCGGGATCTTGACTTCCTTGGTTGCATACTGATTATCAGAGGCATATGTTGGGGTCGAGTCTCTCTGGCTGGTGCTTCCGTCCGGTGACATGATGAGGGATTCGCCCGAGCTCCTCGAATAAGCCGACAGCAGACTGCCGATGGAGTGCCTGTGATCGTCGTCGTCTTCATCGTATTCGGGAACGACTGGTTGGGGCTGAGATGAGGGCGTCTGCGGTTGCTTCGCAACGGGGCGGCGAGTAATCTGGACTGGCGGCAAGGCTTTCGTCTGGAGGGGAGGGAGGGGAGGGAGAGACTGGTTGAGGGCCTGCTGCGGCGGTGGTAACGGCTTGTCCGACATGATGAAGAACTTCTTGGACAGCACGGCAGGGACGGGAGGTATCGAAGAAAGCTGTTTAGACTTGGGAGAAGGATCTTTCTCGGCAGGCGGAGGGGTCGGTAGGGCTTTTGAGAAGCGCGATCTCCCCTTTCTGCTGTGGGAGCGGAGGAAGTCCATGTTGGACAAGGCCCCCGGATGGCCGGTGGAGTGAAGGTTGTTCTTGGGGGTGGATTGCACGCTTCTCCTTCCCCTTAGCTACCTTGCCCGGCTTGCTTGCTTCTACTTGTGGCTCTGGTCCAAGTCGGTTCTCACCAATCGGCTGTGGGGGAATCACCAAGGAGGCCGGGAGTCGAGGAAATCAAGGCACCGAAACTAAGCAAGCGGGCGTGGTGGGACTCGAACAACGTGGGACAGCGGAGGGATGGCGGCAGGATGATTGGAGCGATGAGGTTCTGGCCTTTTGCCACGGCGTTCAGTATCGTAGCATCGCGGTCCTGGAAGCAGCAAGCATCAAGGGTCTTGTGAGATGGGAGAGAGTATCCGCGACATGCACCACAGCAGATGCCTGCAGGATAAGAGGTGGTGGTAGGGAGGCGCAAGGCAAGGATGAGAGGGAGGGGAGGGGAGTGTAGGAGAATAAACCGGACAGGCGTGTGCGGGAGCCGCGTTTGGTTGGATAGCAAGGGGGTGGGTTTGAAGGGGTGTCAACAGAAAAGACTGACTGACTGACTGGTTGACTTACTGGCTGTGTGCCGCGAGAGAGATGGATGGACAGACAAGACGAAGAAGCCCGCGATGGACCAAGGTTTGAACGTTGGATATTTTTGCCCTTTTCTTGGGATGGAAGACGGTTAATTACTATGTAGACAAGGATGACATCGGTGTGGGTGGTTTAGAGCAAAAGTACCTTTTTGCATGATGCCGGCCTCTCCCTCATAAATAGGTAGCTTACGTAGGTAGGTAGGTAGGTAGGTAGGTATGTAGTAGTAGGTATGTATGTATGTGTAGGGAGGTATCGGCGTCGCTACCGCGGATGAGGATTTGCATCCCATGTGTTCCTAGGTACTTCTATATCTAGTTTATGTGGGTAGGTACCTGTGGCCATGTACGTCAACCGCTCTGCTAGCGGGCTTTCATGCTTTTGGCTCACTACAGTGCGTCGTGGACGTATGCTGCGCTGTCTTTTTTAGCGTCTTGCTTCACTCTGTCTTGAACACCTGCAAAAGTCCGTCATTGGCTCCGTCAGGCTGGAACTGGAACCGGCCCCGCCCATCGGGGGTGGGGTGGGGCGGCTGGGTGCTGCGAGTCGCGACTCCTCCCTCCCACATTTGCATCGGCGACCCCCTGCAATAACAGCAAGCAGGATTCAGGAACAGGAACTTTCCTGGCCTCGGGTGCTGGGGTTGTCGACGCTGAGATGGGGCTGGGCTGGGCTGTGTTGGCTTCCTATGTAGGTAGTGTGTATGGGACTGATGACGGCTTGTCGGAGGGTTGGTTCTCCGTCGCTGTGCCATTGCCATTCCCCCCCCCCCCCACGGAAGTACCTGTTGAGCCAAATAACCGTGGAATCGACTTTGACAACTCGCCCGGTAGTGGTACTGTTGTAACTGCTGTCAGTCAACGCTGTCGGTTCTTGTATGCACGCATGCACACACCTCGCGGGCTGTGCACAACACAACCAGTCCACCCACTGTCCACTGCCACTGCCACTGCCACTGCCACTGCCACTGCTGCCCCCATCCATCCCATCCTCCAAATCATTCCAACGAAGCACACCTGTCACGTCGTCTCTCCAACAAGTCATCCGATGTCCATCTCTTTTTCCCATGCGGCGGCTCCTGATTCAACTCGATCCGATCTCTCATCTTAGTTCTGCATGCCTCGGCCGTGCTACGTGTGAGACATTAATCAGAAGGACAAGAGACACACCCCTTTAATTTCGTCACATAGCATTCCCATCTTGATTTACCATGGGCTCAAACCTACCTAGGTAGCCCCGTCGGGGCCTCCCGAAAGAAGGATCGAATTGAACTGGCAGGCTCGACGTGCCATCGGGCATGCCTCTCGTCAACATGAACACTTTCCAAAGTTGCATAATCACAGTATAGCAGCATCCACTAAGCGCCCTGCTTAATGCAGACGATGCAGACGATGCAGACACCCGGCACCGCCAACCATTATTGAGCAGCAGCCCGAACCAACCACTCTCGGCCGAATCTTCACTCCGACCGTCAACTTTGTTTGCCGTTTATGCCTCCGCCGTGCCGCGTCATGAGATGAGGGCTCCAGGACCACCCTGGGCATGTCTTTGTTTGTCTTCATGGCTTTTCTGATGGCCGACGGGCATGGTCTATCATTATACCCGGGATACTAGCCTAGCTAGCATTGGAGGCCTGGCCAAAGCATCGTCTCCTAGCACCGACACGGGAACTACGGAATGCCCCGTTGTAGACTTGGAGATGGGCCAGCTCCGGCTCCAGCAGTCACCAATTGACGCCTGCGAACCGTCACATCCAAGCTGAAAAAGAGAGACCGCCAGCCCAAACACCTTTCGACGCGGCATAGCTCCATGTCTGTCGCTCGCTCTGTTCTGTGTCTTGCAGCTGCGTTGCCGCGCTAACACGACACGCCTGGTAGGATTAGACCACCGCTTCTCCCATTGCACTGCACTATACGCCCTGACTGACACGTTTTCATCTTCTAGACCTGTTTTGACAGCTGGCCAGCGCTCGCCCGTTCCCGCCACCATTCATGCCGCTCCAGCGCCCCAAACCAGCCACGGCGGGCGAATACCGATCTGCGCCAGGGAAGCCAACCAGGCCCCACGACTGTTAGGACACAGATGGAGTCGCATCTCACCTTCCCATCCCGGTCCGGCATCAGACGTACAAGGGGGTCATCCCTTGCGGCTCACTTAGCCCAGAAGCCGGCCTGCCCGCGCTCTCCCTGACCAGGAATCCTGTTGGTAAAGACGACCCGAACTCGTCTCTTGGAACCGGCAGACCAGTCCCGATGGGCTTGCCATGCAATCGATCCCTCTGAGAGCAAACCGGCACCAGTCCAGTCACTGAAGTAGCAGTGCTACCGGTATGGTGGTTTGTTGCGGAGCCAGCCCAACTACCTAGCTAAAAGACCTCAGCCAGCTGCCAAGAGGGGCGAGCGCGTCTCTGAGCAGGGGCTTCGCGGCTCGCATGAACCACGGATTTGAGTCTCTTATGGCGTTCGAGTCTCACAATCAGGCCGCCAGGTGGCCCATGCAGGCCACATCAGACTGAGAGGGGGCGCTGCGCTCCTAGGTACCCCTGCCTCCTTTGCCTGCCCCCTTGGAAAGGTGAAGCTGATGATGACGAAAGGTCGCTTCCCGTCTCGCAGGCGCACAAAGTTGGGACGACATACTACTACTGGTACTACTCCTCGTACCGGGTCAGTGCATCGTGGCCACAAACTGCGATGATACAACATAAGTTGCACTCTCTCGTCAGTTGCCCAAAACCTCGGCGAAGAGACGAAGAGGCGGTTTGTCGTGATGAGTCGCACCATTCGTGCACGAGAAGCGGCGACGCCTGCGCCGTGCTGTTTCACCTCTCAGAGGGCGGAGGTCCATTCGGACAGAATGAAGCTACCATTTGATAGAGGACCGCCTTCCGGATAACTGGTATGCTGAGGGTGCAGCCCGAAAGTCCCGACGGGAGGGGGATTGCGTCGCGGAGACTACCTGAATCAACATTAAGATGACTTTTGGGGCTCTCATTGTGGGAGGATGGAGCGGCAATGCGACGGTCTGTTTCACACTGACAGGATTTTCTATGTAAGACGGGCTGCGATCCGCTTTTATTCCGCATCCAATTCTTCTCGTCAACCGGGAGGGCTCTTTTCTCCCCGGTCGCTCGTGTCATCCGTTTCCGCTACGTACTCGGGTTATTCTGTCAACCAGTTAACCGATCCGGTTGACGAGGTGACGGGTCAGTTGAAGAACACGGATGCTTCGGGGAGGTTCGGTCAAAGCCCGCGCAAGATGCAGAGTTTGTCTAGAGCGGGTTGCCAAGCTTATTTGACTTCTGGCGCCGTTGCAGTCCACTCAAGGTGCATGCTCACGTGCTGGCCCGCCGGAATGGCGTTCGCCGCGATAACGGATGGGACCGGCTTATCGCGGGCAAGTGTCCGATGATGGTGCCGACAGAAACGGGGCTTTACTGTATGCAGGAGGGCGGGTTATCAATCCTCGTCAGCGAGGATGCGAAAGTCGGAGAGAAATGGCAGGGCGACGACTTGAAAAGGACCCGGTCCGCAATCGGGCACTCGGTGTTGTGCATATCTCTGCACCGAGAAGGCATCGGGAACCCTGCGATTTGATTCTCGACACTCGGACGCTCCTTTGAAGCCCCTCCCCGCTCCCCTCTTCCGCGACCATGACTGGCTCCGCTGACGGCACCTCCGTCCCGACGGAGACGTCGCCGCTGCTACCCAACTCCGACTCGGGGGTGGTCAATGACAACGGCCCCCTCGAGAACCGCCCGGTCAACGGCGTCCCGGCCGTGGCCCAAGATGCCAACGACAACCGGGACGGTAATCCCGAGATGGCCAAGAAGATGCACATCCTCCTTCCGGCCGTCGGTATTGGCGTAGGCCCCCTCCCTCCCCCGTCCCCTTGTACCCGACGAAAACAAACTTTCGTGCTCGACCGGTCGCTCACCGGGATCTCCCTAGATCTACCTCTGTGCCGTCGATCAGCTGCTCACCGTCGCAACCTACGCCAAGATCGGCAGCGAGCTGCACGCCCTGCAGAACACGAGCTGGCTCGCGACAGCGTGAGTACATCGCTTCGGCGCCCCCTCCCCCCCGCGCCTCGCTGACACGCCACGACAGCTACTACATCACGCTGACCAGCTTCCAACCCCTCTACGGCAAGCTTAGCGACATCTTCGGCCGCAAAGAGTGCCTCCTCTTCGCCTACGTCATCTTCGGCCTCGGCTCTCTCGGCTGCGGCCTCGCCCAGTCCTTTGCCCAGCTCTGCGTCGCCCGCGCCGTCGCCGGCATCGGCGGCGGCGGCATGAACAGCGTCGTCGCCATCCTCCTCAGCGACATCGTGCCCCTCCGCGACCGCGGCGTCTGGCAGGGCTACCTCAACATCATCTTCGCCGCCGGCACCTCCACCGGCGCGCCCCTCGGCGGCCTGC